CAACATGGCGATCATCAGGAGAAAAAAAAAATCTGCTTGCTGGTATCAGTGAACTACAGAAATTAATGTCTTGATGGAGAAAATGAATTTTTTGCCTGTAGTTTTCATTTGTCTTTATATATATATACAGTAATACTGTGACATACGAACGTATCGACATACGAGTTTTTTGAGATAAGAGGCTGATTTTTGCGTTGAGATACGAGTTGAATTTTGAGATACGATCGAGTTTCAGTTCAGCATTCGCAGTACTTCATCTCTGCTCTGGAAGGATCTCTGTTGTGTTGTGTCATTTCTGCCTTTATTTTGAAAAATTCCTTTAGTGACATCATGGGTCCAAAGAAAGTAAGTGTAAAGGGTAGTGGTGAATTTTTAGGGGTCTGGAATGGATCGTAAATATTCACATTAATTTCAGGGGGGAAAATAGAGTTGAGATACGAGTCTTTTGTGTTACGAGCTCGGTCTTGGAAAGAATTATCTTACAACTTCCATCCTTCGAAAGGGCCTCTTCAATAATGGCTTTATCAATGGATAAAAGAAACCTCAACATACAACATACATTCGATCTTTTTCCTAACAGAACTGCTGCTATTACAATGCGTGATATTTAAAAACAATAACAAGAAAAGCAAAAAACAAAAGCGGTAGAAAAATGAATGACGTTCGTTCATTTACATATATACCTTGTTGCCAAAAACGGAAAAATAAAATTTAAATTAGACGTTCCTCTATCTCCAGAGTATTTATTTATTGATATAGAATTACTGCATTTTGCTACATACACATATACAAGATTACATTAAAATAAGATCAATAGTTGTCTGAAAGAGTCCATTCAAAGGCCGTATAACGTAAGAGTATATATATATATATATATATATATATATATATATATATATATTTAATTTAAATTAAAAAACAGACAACCTTAGGGGTCTATTGATTATATTTTATTTTCCCAGGAAAGTGATTTTTTCCTGGTTCCTCAGATCACATTTCCAAGCATTAAAAAAATGGTTTAAAATTTATATATTATTATTTTTCTGCAAGCTTTTTGAGGGGTAGTTTTCAGTTGATATAAAGTGATAGAGAGAGGAGGAGGAAGAGGACGCAAATACGGTCAGAATTAAAAGAAGGGAAAGATAGAAATATTTTAAAATCTATTTTTATCAAAATACTTAAGAGTAAGGAAGGTGGTAAGGACCTGACATTGATCTATTTAATAAGTCATCTCATAGAAAAAGAGACAAAGAGAAAAAAGAAAAGATATAAGAAAGCAAATGTGGAAGAAGGGGTGGGAGGAAAAAAGTGGGGAAAGAAGAAAAGGAAGAATGAATTAATATATATAGGCATATTGCAGTTAATTTCAAAAATACAGATTAATATAATTTACAGTTTGAGTTGACGCTGGATATTATTTTAAACACACACACACACACACACACACACACACACACACACACACACACACACATATATATATATATATATATATATATATATATATATTAATGTGAACATTGAAGTCAACACTTACAAGCCTCTAAGTGTTGAATTCAATGATCACTTTTATATTTACAAACGCTCTATCTCAGATATTGAGCACTTTATCCCATAAATATATCACACCTTAAGACTATATTTTTTCATATATATATATATATATATATATATATATATATATTCCCCACCAGTTGCATGACACGGAGTTTCATGCACAACAGGTGCTGAATTTAGTTCAATTCAGCTCCTGTTGCTGAAAAAATATATTTATTAATATATAGTTTATAGCTTTGTTATATTGCATCCAGTACTATTATATATCTATCATATATATATATATATATATATTTATATATATATATATATATATGTGTGTGTGTGTGTGTGTGTGTGTGTGTGTGTGTGTGTGTGTGTGTGTGTGTGTGTGTTGCACCTAGGTGTTACATTTCTTACTCATATCTTAGGTAGACATTCCAGTCTTTTTGGTATGTACTCCAATAATAATAATAATAATTGTTTTTATCGGAACCGAGTGCCACTCAAGGCCACAGAGCCTAGTTCACTTTGTTAATTAATCCATCGCTAAGAGGAATTTAGGTGGATTCATGTTTTTTTCCAATTAAATTTGTGTGATAGCAAATGCAACAAACTAGGTGAGAATTTAGTACTACTAATACTAAGATGATAATAATCCACATCAAAATAGTAGTATTTCAAAATACAGATTAATGTAATTTACAGTTTAGTTGACGATTGATATTTTCACACACACACACACACACACACACACACACACATATATATATATATATATATATATATATATATATATATTGAAATATATCTATACTAATATTCATTATATTTACACACGCTCTCCCTCAGATATTGAGCACTTTATCCCAGTATATCATGACTATATTTTCACAGACACACACACACACACACACACACACACATATATATATATATATATATATATATATATATATATATATATATTCCTACCAGTAGGATGACACGGAGTTTCATGCACAACGCGATCTTCAGGTGCTGAATTGAGTGACAAGTTTTCTCAGTATTTTTGCCAATTTCAAAAATGATGCTTTTGAAACATAGGAATGTTATTTGAAGAGTCTTGCTGTCACTTGATCCTTATACAATGGCTTATAGAAATCTCTAAAGATATATAATGGAAACAAAGCAAAAATTAAGAAAAATAATGTCCGTTATTCCAAGACTGTTGTATGATAATCAGACACTAATTATTAATTAGTAAGATATAATGAATATTGATTGGAAAAATAGCGTTGTATGCAATAAATTAGATTATCATCGGGCGACTTAAAAAATTGTAATAATTCTGCCACAAAGGTTATAGCAGTCTTAATGATATTCATAAAGTTTCGTCTAGTCTGGCTCAAGGCCAAACCAGTAATGCTTTTAATTCTTCTTATGATTAGAGAGACATAGAATTGAAATGCGATGGGAATTCGATATTCCCATTCAACTCGAGACTTACAGTTAATAATATTTTCAGAGACAACAGAAGATTTCCATTTACATAGGAACATCAATATGTTCATCGTCTAATCATGAAAAAGAAAGTATATATTCTATAAAAGAAATATTTATCAATATAATCTCCTTCTTTGTCAATGCACTTAATTCGGTGATGAACATTAATCGCATACATCGACTTTTCTACAATGAAATTATCAGATCAATAATCAGTTGTTAATGACATGTAAGACAATAGATTTATTCGCCCACCATCGCAAATGTCTCTTTATTTTATTATTATTAGTAGTAGTAATAGTTTAACAATGTTTCCCTCTATTGATACGCGAGTAGCAGTTTAATGATGCAAGGGAAGTAACTCTAACCGCTCAAAAGCAATAAACAGCTTTTGTGAAGTCGGTGCTGTTGATTTTAGAATTTAGTTCTTTTTAGATTTTGTTAAAATAAGATTTAGGAATATGAAATCTCTAATATTGCAGAATAAATAATCCTCTCAACAGATTTCTATTTGATTTTAAACCTCATGCACAAATATATCAAGTATCACCTATAAATACAAATTTTAGAAGATTGTAAAGTCATTGGATAAAATAATAAAAAATGAAATTATCAACCTTTTATTATTATTATTATTTTTATTTTCTTTGATTTCTGGCGTTTACACATTTCTTTCCGGGTCCCGCCCAGGGACCTAAGGTTAGAAATGGCGCCATGACACTTTCCACTCACAAAAAAAAAAAAAAAAATGATTACAGAGATAAAGCCCCTTCGTAAGGTGTGGGCTGTACTTGTCAGAACAATTTTCTGTATCTCCTTGAGGCATGGACTTCCAGGAATCCCTTCAATTAGTCTACTGGAATCTTTTCCAACCAGTCCTAGGGGCTCCAACTACAAAAGGGATTGTTGATGTTCCCATATGCCACATTTTCGCGATTTCTATTTCAAGGTCCTTGTACTTTGACAACTTTTTGAATATCTTCAAAGATACATTGCAGTCGGCAGGGACTGACATATCAATAAGGAGGCACCGTTTTTGTTTGTGGTCTTTAATAATATCTGGGCGGTTGGCCTTGATTGTTCTGTCAGTATGTATTGTGTAGTCCCATAGAATTGTAACAGGTCCTATCTCCGTAACCGGGTCTGGGTGGTGTTCATACCAGTTTCTTTCAGTTTTCTTCCCGTAGAAGTTGCAGATTTTCCAGTGCAGATATTGGCCCACTCTGTCATGTCGGGTTTTATATTCAGTGGGTGCCAACACCGTACAACCTGCTACAAGATGATCAATCGTTTCTGGATATTTATCACAGAATCTGCATTTTGGGCTGACACAATATTTTAGTATATGTGCTTGATAATTCCTAGTTAGCAAGCATTGGTCCTGCGCAGCAAGGATAAAACCTTCAGTTTCCGCTTTCAACCCTGCACTACGTAGCCACTGAATTATTATTATTAATATATAAAGAAAAAAATGTGTATATATATGTGTGTGTGTGTGTGTGTGTGTGTGCGCGTGTGTATGTTTGTTTGTGTGTGTGTGTGTGTGTGTGTGTCAAGTGATCAATTATTTCCCTGTATGCATTTATTGCTCGTAGAAAACGCAAGTGAAATCAAATGTTACTGAGAATGTGATATTCATTGAAGAATTGCTTCGTATTATTTATTATATTAGAATTGATCTATGTATTTGATCGTCATCATTGATAACATATGAATAATATCCTTGGCAAGTAAACGACAATATCAGATTATCAACCTACAAAACAAGAAAAGAATGAAACATCGCCTTCTCCTAAGCTGGATTACACACATTTGTCAGAGTTTCTTTTCACTTGACTGGGTGATTACATCTTATTCTTTTTTTCCAGTTCGCAAACATTCTAATCGCAAATGCTTTCGAAAATATATTTATCTTACAATTCTGAGGTCCGGTTCTGCACTTGCTTACGAGGTTGGAATCATTCAGTTCAACACCTTCAATGCACAATGGCTATCTACGAGACAAAAGTTTATCCCTGAGTCAACAATAAGTATAAAAATATGATTGGCATTGTCCATCGTATCTCTTCAACCGAATCAATGAAATCTTTGACACTTATTTTCTGTCACATTGAATATTTTAAACACCTGTTAGGTTTAATTCATTTCTCAAAATACACCCAGTTTTTCTTTTATATAATAATAATAATAATAATAATAATAATAATAATAATAATAATCATTATTATTATTATCATTATTATTGTTATTATTGGTATTATTATTGTTGTTGTTGTTGTCATTCTTGGGGTCGATTTAATTGTTGTTGATGTATTATCATTATTATTATTATTATTATTATTATTATTATTCCCTTGGAATCCAAAAAGAAAACAAAAACTAAGATCACACATTTTATTTTACATAGAAAAGCTCTTCATAATGTGTGAGCTGTACTTGTGAGTACAATTCTTTGTATTTCTTTAAGGCCTTGGCTACCAAAGATCCTTTCAATAAATCTACTGGAACTTTTTCGAATCAAACCAAGTGCTCCGACTACAACTGGCATTATTGATGTCCTCATGTGCCACATTTTTTTTTTTTAGATTCCACTTCAAGATCCTTGTATTTGGTAGTTTTTTGAAGATCTTCAAATATACACCACAATCTGCAGGGATTTCCATACCAATAAGAAAGGACATTCTATTTTTAAGTTTCCCAGTAGCGGTTAAAGCTGTTGAATATATGACATTATTTACTTCTGTGATTTTACCCATCGGCTGTCCGATAACAGTGTTTACATTGCAGTGTTATGTGGCACATAATGAAGAAAGCAAGCCTAGAGAATTTAACACTCACAAGAAATACTAATTGCAAGATAAGCATTGGAAAAAGCCAGTAATCTGTTTAATGAGTTTGTGTAAATGGATGGTGGAACAGGGTCAAAGTGAGGGTGATAATCATTGAGAAATTATTTAGAATAATAAAAGAGAGGAAGCTGTGGAGGTGATCACCTATATACTGTAAGTACTTAACATATAAAAACGATGATTAGATCTACTTATATCACTTGAGAAAACATTATATACATATGTAACATATTAAACTTCAAAATCCCAAGAAATATTTACTTTTTCTATTCTCTATACCAGTTTCTAGTTTGTACTTATGCCACTTATTTTTTATCGTACAATTCGAGTCGTTATTATATAACACTATTAGTATGACAGTACTAATCGGTTATGTCTACTGTTATACTAATTTTGAATTAATTTACTATATTCATTTACGCTTTTAACTCAGTACATTCGTCTTTTGCTTCATTCACTTTCATATAGTTTGTCCTAATTGTTCAGATTTGCAATTCCGTTTACCTTTTAAGGTATCCTTTGCGCAACCTTTCTAAGGAGATTCCATCTGAAATCACTTTTGTTCTTCTTTATAAGGATTACTTGCAGAGTTTTCTTCCAGTAATATCATTATTAATAGACTTAATTAATAGTTATTTAATTATCTTTAATAATAGGCTTAATGGAATTAATAGACATCCCTTCATAGAGTAAAAAGTTTGTGTGATTACGTAACAGAGATAGAAAAAATATGGTATTTTAATACCTTGAAAATCAACATTCACGATTCTTACTTCTATCTAAACTCGAACAGTAATCCGTTAATTACAAGCGATAGATTTCTATTGTCATTTCGTCTCACCCCATTTTCATTCTTCGTCTTCCTCCTCCTCTTCTTCTTCCTCCTCCTCCTCTTCTTCATCTTCTTCTTCCACCTCCTCTTCTTTTTCCTCTTCTTTTTCTTATACTTCCTCTGCCTCCACCACCTCTTCTTCCTCCTCCTCTCCCTCTTCTTCCTCCTCATCCTTCTTCTTCTTCTTCCTTCTCCTCCTCCTCCTCTTCCTCCTCCTCCTATTATTCTTCTTCTTCCATCCCTCCTCCTCCTTCTTCTTCATCATCCATTTTCTTCTTTTCTTTTACTCATTCTCCCCCTCCTCCTCCTCCCTCCTCCTCCTCCTATTCTTCTTCTTCTTCTTCATCATCCATTTCGGTTCACTTTTCTTTTACTCTTATTTTTCATTCTTCTTCCCCCTCCTCCTCCTCCTCCTCCTCTTCTTCTTCTTCTTCTTCATCATCATCATCATCATCCATTTCGGCTCACTTTTCTTTTACTCTTATTTTTCATTCTTCTTCCTCCTACTCCTACTCCTCCTCCTCCACCTCCTCCTTCTCTTCTTCTTCTTCTTCATCATCATCATCATCATCCATTTCGTTTTACTTTTCTTTTACTTTTCTTTTTCTATCGTCTTTTATTTTATCTCCCTCTTCTTTTTATCTTTTTCTTCCTCCTCCTCTTTTTTGACCCTCCCATCTTTCTCGTCATTCTTCAGCTTCGTCTCTTGCTCCCACCCCCGCCTCTGCTTTTCTTTGCGCTACAACTTTCTCTTCTTCCTCCATTAATTAGTACACCTTCGCCGATAATAGCACAGTCTTAAAACCAAGTGCACATATAACGGTTACGAATCGATGCCGAGTGAAGAATGGCGCGATTATCAAAGTGGAAGAGTCAAATTACCCAAGGAGAAGAAAGAGAAAATGATAGAAGCTCCACTAATTTTCTCAGAGAAGCCATCGAAGACACGCGTCTTAGACATACCACTTACGAAAAATGCTTTTTCATAGCGCGTTAAAAATAAAAAGATCGAGATAAAAATTTCCGATATACGCACAATTTCATATTAACTACAAAATTTGTATGCATAAATACTAAATATATGAGCACACGAAAACACACACACACACACGCAGAGACATATATATATATATATATATATATATATATATATATATATATATATATATATATATTAATGCATGTTTCATTAAATAATATAGACAAGTTTTGTCTATTTATTTTAAGTAAGTTCCTTTCATATTGTCTGATAAGCTTAATCACATTATCGTTGAAAGACGAAAAGGAAACACCATATTGATACATATTTAAATACGAGTTTGTCGTTATTTTGAAATATTTCATGCAGCAAGGGCGGACTATCATTGTTGTATCGTCCGTGTGTTGTTTGATTTATTAAAATTTTCATCTTTGATAATGGCTTATGTAAGCCGAAAGCTTAAATTGGATTTAAACATGTATCAATATGGTGTTTTTAAGCTTATCAGACAATATGAAAGGAACTTACTTAAAATAAATAGACAAAACTTTCCTATATTTTTTTAATGAAAAATGCATTAATATATATATATTGCCTTCCTTCACTAGTAGTAGCTGGATAAATAATGTCTGTTAGAATAGGAAAAGAAGTAGTGTAGCTACGGCATCCATAGGACTCAAATATAACCTCATTTAATTGAAAAATGTTTCTTGTGGTTAGAAAATAGAATCACTCTATTTCGGAGGTGGCAACAGATCTAAGTTATTTCTCTCAAAGATATAATATAAATCTATGAAATTCTAACTGATTAGCGACAAGCAAATGCAGTGGTCGTCAATAGTCATACAAGAACATCAGAATTGGTGATCTTCAAGGATTCTCACTACCAAAGTTAAATATTGCACCAAACCTGACATCAGTTCAACGCTAGTGCTGTTCAATCCATCAGCCAATGCACTCTACAGCGTAAACTCTCAGAAGATATTCTAGTTGGACTGAGAAAGTTAATAAAGCCTCGTTAGATGAGTTTTAGATGTCTTTCAAGTCGACGTTTGTAGTCCTATGTGCAGTGCACTTCAAGGGACTATGGATGCAGTCTGTCAGCAGATTTCTATACAAGCTGGTGATGGTTTTGTAATGAAAAGGAACGTACTCTGTTGGATTTAGGAACGACCACTCATCTTGATATACAAGTACACCTCACCTACGTCGGTAATTTGTTCCAGGAGAGGCGACTTACGTCGAAAAACGACTAAGTCGAAATTTACTTGTCTCCGAATCGTCACTAGGATAAATCCCAAATAACCATTCCAGTTCTGTATTTTATTTATAAATGAATTTTTAATAATGTATGGTCAATATATATGTTCAAATGAATAAGAATGAGAGAGTAGGTAATAAGCAGACGTATACCATGCGTATGCTAAAACTAAACTGGATTTCGCGGGGATCATGAGTGGCACTGACAACGCCGCCAAACGGTAGGTATTGGAACTACCGTGGAAAACACCTATATGGAGCTCTTAAAAACCACTAAATAAGACGACAACACATTCATAGATGTTTTCATATTACGTTCTCTAGGATTTATGATGATTATATTAACATTTACTATGAGTGTACATATTTTAATATGATTTTATATACTTTTATTATTTATTTTACAGTAACATGATTTCATGTGCTTTTAACGCTTTTCTAGTGATATCATGACTTCAATATTTGTAGCGGACAGAGGTAAAGTCGAATAAAATGACTTGATCTTGATTTTTAATTTTCTATATATATCTTTTTTGACAAACGACGTATAATCGAGAACGACTTAAGTCGAAACGACGTAACCCGAGGTATACATGTATTTGATATGCACAGATTTTATGGAGATAACTTATGCCCCTTCATACTCATGATTGCTGGTGGTGATGTTTTATTCCAGTAATATAAGGCAATCTCCCGTGAAAATTCGAGTAATTTCTAAGCACGCCATTATTTTGGTAAGGTTCGTTAATTTTAGGATATGTCGGTTATTTAATGTCAATTTTTTGTGGGGGCCACCGATTAAGGATCGAACACACTAGTCAGTAGTAATGATCAAATAAACTTGGCCAATTAATCGAGATGGCAGATTTATAACCGGCTGAACATGTGTGAAATATGTCACAAATTCTTCAAAGCAAAACTAACAAGAATAACTCACGTATGGACAGTCGTAAAATGTGCTTTGGATATGGATATATATATATATATATATATATATATATATATATATATATATATATATATATATATATATGCAGAATCGCACCATGCAGACGCCATGCTATGCATAGCCGTTTGCCAAATATTCTGTGATTTTCATGAGCAATTTAAATGCATATATTGCTCCAAAAAATATTATGCATGTATGAGTGCTTTTTAATTTTCAATAAGATAGATAGATAGATAGATAGATAGATATGAAAAGACTAAGATAGATAAATAGATAGGTAGATATGAATAGACTAAGATAGATAGATAGATAGATAGATAGATAGATAGATAGATAGATAGTGAACAGACTGAAATAGATAGATAGATAGATAGATAGATAGATAGATATGAACAAAGAAAATAGATAGATAGATAGATAGATAGATAGATAGATAGATAGATAGATGTGAACAGACTAAGATAGATAGATAGATAGATAGATAGATAGAGAGATAGATAGATAGATAGATAGATAGATAGATAGATAGATCATGTGTCACACCTGGTTTCCTCTTTAATGATTAGCTTTAGCCCGCAGCCTTGAAGTCTGTTTAATATTTGTCTCTGAAAGAAGCATGATAATCTTGCATTAGCCAGCCATTTTGTTTTACTTTTCTTTATTTCTTTCTGTAATGCTTTTCTACTGTTCTCCTCACCCCCGGCCACCGTTGCGCTGCAATGAATCGGGTTTTGTTTTACAGACTGATTAGTTGTTTGTGCAGCAGTTGTCGCCAGATGGGTTCGAAAGGTTGCACTAATAACCAGTCGTGATTTCTTTGAAAATGAGAAGATCTCTTCAGCGTTGAACTCTGCCTCCTTACAGTGGGCAAATCGGTAGCTTCCTAATTGTTTACACGCGGAAGGAAAACAATGCAACCATAAGAGAATCCGACAAAATAGTAGAAACATATATATATATATATATATATATATATATATATATATATATATATATGAAATACGGTAAAATGGTTACCTTAACGTATTTCGCCGAGGATCCGCCGCCATCAGAAAAGAATTGTCTTCCACTGGATCGAAATTTACACTAGAGAGATATTAGGTTGGTGCAAAAATAATGACGTAATAATATCGTTTTTTGACGTTAAAAATACGTCAAAAACGTCATTATTACGTCATTATTTTTGCACCAACCTAATAAAACGGGAATTGATTTAAGCGTCTGTATGATTCACATTTTTTATGTTAACTTGATCGTTATAGAAAAATGCGTTGGAAGTAATCAAAATCTAATTGCTATGACGATAAATGACAAAAGAATCAAGATTAAACGTACTAGCATTTATCAGATATATACATACATACAAACACACACACACGCATAAACACACATACACACACATTATATTTATATATATATATATATATTATAAATTAACTGATTTAAAATATGGTTTCTTCGCTACACAGTAATAACCATGTTTCAAAAACTGAAGCTAAAAACTTCAAATTTAATTATATAATTAAATTAAAAGCATTAGTTCTGTTTTACCTTCAAGCGAATTTTGGAATAACTCTTTTTTTTAAAAATTTACTGAGTTTTAAACGCACATATAAATTCATAATTTCCTGTTTCCAAGGATACAGAGAAATCCAATCATTCAGACAGGGGCGGTAGCGTGTTCATTCTTATTAATTATTGTTGTATCACTTATGAGTTACGTTCGAAAAAGGGGTTAAGTTTAGGGAGGGTAGGGGTGTATTTTTCAACGAATTCTGACATCCGTTAAACGCATGTGTCTGGTTTTTTTTATTATTAACGACAAAAAGTTTTTCGGCATTTTTTTCGTACTTGTATATTTAAAGATTCTTCCTAAAAGGGATGTTTGGGTTAAAATACGTTATATTTAAATACAGTTTTAAAATATTTTTACTCTTAATTACTAATAGACTATATTTCGTTTTAAATCAAGTAAATGTAATAGAATTACTTAAATTGTTTAAAATTATTTTTTATATCAAATGTAAGTATGTATATTACCAGCTCCCATTTTATTTTATTTTTAAATATTTTTTAAGGAAAATTTTTGATAATGACAGCAAATAATAGCTATTTCCCTTCTTTGATTCAATAAATTTTTATTTCTTATAAACTTAGCATACATGAGAAACTATATATTACTAAATATCAATATGAACACCGGATTATATATCTTACTGTTCTTTTATATATATATATATATATATATATATATATATATATATATATATATATATATATGTGTGTGTGTGTGTGTGTGTGTGTGTGTGTGTTTGTATATATATATATATATATATATATATATATATATATATATATATATTATAATAAAAGAAAGAACAGTAAGGTATATAATCCGGTGTTCTTATTGATAATTTTTTTTTTTTACAAAACAGTGCTCAATGTAAATTTACAGAGTATAAATATTATAAATTAACTGATTTAAAATATGGTTTCTTCGCTCCAAAGTAATAACCATGTTTCAAAAACTGAAGCTAAAAATTTTAAATTTAATTATATAATTAAATTAAAAGCATTAG